CCTTTAGTCACCATGACACTCGTATTACCCAGTTATTAAATGAAAAAGGGAAAATACAGTAAAACATTTTGGACGTTACAATTATCATTTATTATTTATGGCATCAAGCGTGTACAGTATGAGCCAATCAGTGGCAGTAATGACAGAGCATGCGCTGTTATGCAAAAACCACGATAGAGTGAAGCCGCGGAAGTCGAAACGCGAAGTGGCGAGGGTTCACTGTAATTAGAAAGAAATCTAATTCTAATTCTTTATTCTTTAAGCCATTCTGTTTTGAGAACTTGGATGTCAGTTTTATTGTTGTTTTTTTTTAAGTGATGGGAGTCTTCTCATCCCCCCGAATCTGCCCACCTTCAAGGTTAACCTCCAGATTTGTGCAGTTTCACCAGGGCGTTCCTGCATTTAATTTTATTTGTATGTATCCTGATTGGATTCTTTGTGACTCAGTTTCTCTATATTTATAGAAATTCCTGGTCATTATCTTTTCAGATCATGCATGTATTCCACTCTCTCCTTTCCTTCTGGGATTCCAGTCAGACATAGTTAGATGTTCTTGCCGCGTCTCATACCTGTGTTATTATTCTTTTCTTGAATTTCTACCGACTTTCAGCTCACTAGGAGCTCTGGTGGAATTGTGGGTTCTATGTTGGGCTGCTCACCCAAAGATCAGCAGTTCGAACCCATCAACTCCTCGGTGGGAGAAGGATGGAGCTTTCTGCTCCCATAAAGAACATAAGGAGCCTAGAAATTTGGAGGTTCAAGAATATTTGAGGTATTTGAGGGGGTTCCAGTCTTAGAAACCCACGGGGACAGTTGTACTCTGTCCTACTGTGTTGCTATGCGTTTCAAAGTCAGTTGGAAGGTATTGTGTTTTTGTTTGTGTGTGTGTGTGTGTGCTTGTTTTGCTGACTGCTTTTCACTGCATATTTTCTTGTCTATCTTACGTCTCATGCGCTGTGGACATGTTATCAGGAGGGCCTTGTCTCTGAAGAAAGAGACCATGCTTGGTAAAGTAGAGGGTCACTGATAAGAAGACGACTCTCCGTGGATTCTGTGCTCGATGTGCTGTTGAATCTGTGCTTCATTTCTTTGCTGTGGTGGTCTTCAGTTTCCAGTGAGCTGGCTACAGCGTCAACCACCCACCTCCTTTCTTGAGATTATAAATCATACCTATTTTAAAGACTCTGGCTCAAGTCTCTAGTGTTGATAGAATCTACTAATGTTTATTCTGACTCTTGCTCCTGCTTTCCGATCACTCCTCGTTCAGGGTTGGGTATTTCTATGGGTCATAGATGATGTTCCCTTTTGAGGATCCACCCAACCCACTTCTTGAGGATATTTTTCCTGTGTTCTAACAGGCAGAGCAGGGTTTGATAGCCTCAAATGAGTCTGGGATTTAGGCTGGTTTGTCTAAACTAGGCCACCTCTGGTTAGCCCCCTTTCCTGAAAACTCATCAAGAGCCCGGGCTGTTTCCTTTTGCCCTGGTGGGTAATGACTTCTAATTTTCATCTCCAGCATGTAAAGTTTATGGGTATCTAGGATATCCATATCTTGACCCTCAAATCTTGATGGCTGTTGCTAAATCTTAACCCAAGAACCTCAACTTGTATCTTCCTAGCCCGGAAGGACGGCTGCGAGCACTCAGATTTCTGTTGGACAGCTCAGACCCCTACCTGTACTACTGAAGAGCTAATAAATGACCCAAGAGGAAGACAGGGTCGCAGGCTCCCCCTTTGGATGCTTTCTGTGTATCTGGGATTTCGGTGGTTCAAATCCCTGCTGTCTCGGCAGCTCTTGGATGCCATGGAACGGTGATCCATCTTACCCAGCTCTCTTAGTTGTGCTTGGCAGGAGCATTAGTTTGCCAACAGTGACTTTGTCTTGGCTGGCAGTAGAAGTCGACACGTGTTTGGTTTTGCTTTTGTGTGTCTTGCATTAGTGGTGTTGACTTTGGATTCAAGATGAGGCCAGTTGCCAGACAGACAAGGAGATCCCCATAAAACCATTTGTGTATGCCATACCCCCCTTTGTGGGGAGTGGAGTGGACAGACTCATTTATCCCCTAGTTATTGGCTTTTTGCAATGCTATCTCTTATTTAATTAGATTTTTTGGAGGCGTTTTGGTGGCATAAGGCTTATGAGTTGGGTAACTAACTGCAAGATCAGCAGTTCAAAATGACCAGCCACTCCTTGGGAGTAAGATGAGGCTTTCTACACTCCTGGAAGATTTGCACTATTAGAAACCCACAGGGGTAATTTTGCCCAGCCCCAGTGGGTTCGAGGTGTTGGAATCAACTTGATGGCAGTGAGTTTAATTTGGGGTGTTTGGTTGTTTTAATGCAATCATTAATTTCTTCTGAATTTTCCAAAGTTTTCATATAACTGTATAAGAACTCTGGAGAGTTTTTTTGTTGTTGTTGACATTTATATATGTATAGGTAATGCTTTAAGTTTTGTGCTCTTACCAATCTCTTTGGTATGGCTTGCTAGAAGTCTTTATCAATCCTTTTAAAGAACCAATTGTTAAATTTTCTGATGCAGTGTAATGATCTCATCTTTTTCCATTTTTCTAATTAAGAAATGCTAGTATGAGGCTATTTTGCCCCCTCAGAGTACAGCTTTGGCTGCATCCTATAAATATTTGTTTCCCCTCCTTCATCCTTAGATCCTATAAGGCCTGGCATGTGTTGACCATTTTATCAATATTTTATATGTTGCCCATAGACATTTTTCCCCTTTCTGATAACTGTTGGCTAAAGATAGTAAATGATTGGCGTGTTGGGAGTTTTTAAAAAAATCTTAGTTATTGATGTTTTCCCATTATTCTAGCAGAGAAGATAACTGACAGACTTCTGAGTCTGGGTATTTATATTTCTGGTAGAACCCTGTTGGTCCACTGGTGCATCTGGGTCCTAAGGGTGAAGTGAACCCGCTCACCACTGCCCCACATTTTTTTTTAAGGGGCTGAACCAGGATACAGACCCTTGCCTCAGACACCCAAACCTGGCCTCTTTCCTTTGTTCTCTGCCACCTTCTCTAAAGCCTCCGCCACTGTGAACTGGTCTCAGGGTCGAGCTTGTCTTGTGTGCACCGGGTATTGGACCAGGATCCCGGGGCGCTGCTGACGGCCCTCCTCCCACTCTGGAAGGGCTGCTGGTCCAGCGGGGAACAAACAAGCATAGACGATGCAGCTTGGGGGAATCTCAAGTGTGAACTCTGGCAAGGCGTCGAGGCGGAGATGGCTGCTGAGAGTCTTGACATGAGAGCGGGAGTTTTCAGGTGGGCTTGTTCAGGGAGGAAACAGAGTGAGACAGGCAGACAGACATGTGCCCAGAAGACAGAAGTGGCAGGAGGGTGCCTGGCAGCAAGTCCAAGGAAACCAGGGTGCTTACTCAGAGGCTCAAGAGGACTGTGTGTGGACCGCAGTCTGTCATGGCCATGCCTCCTTTGAGGTGTGCAGACTTCTCTGATCCAGAAGCTGGGATGGAGACCTAACCCTGGTGCCAGAAGGGATTTCAGAGGGGACACTAATACCCCTTTACCGCCAGCTGTCACCGCCCCAGCACTGCAGGTGCTAACCCAGATGGAACCAGTACAGCTTTGGGAGCCCATTCTCCTCTGTCCTAGAGGGTTCCTGTGAGCCTTGATGGCAGGGAGTAAGAACACTCCCTTCACACTGGAGAGGGGAGGTCTTTCCTGCCCCCTCTCCCCTCCTTTCCTTCCTTTCAAAAACTTGTCATGGTGGATACATTCAGTGCTTGCCTCCCTCCTCATGCCTAGCCCTTGGGAACCATTGGTCAACTTCCCATCTTTCTTTTGTCGGTTCCCGTGTGTCAGCCCAATTGTGCTCCTTGGCAGTTCTCAGTGGCCATTGCTCACGAGTGCCTCCGGGTGGGCTAGAACCTCTGTCCTCAGTCAGCAGTGAGGGCTTCACTGTCTATAGATTTCCTAAATCTGGACCAAACACTGCCATCGAGTCGACGCTGAATCCTAGCCACCCGCTAGGACAGGATAGAGCTGCCCCTGGGGGTTTCCCAGACCGTCACCCTTTACAGAAGTAGAAAGCCCATCTTCTCCCTCGGAGTGGCCGAACTGCTGACCTTGTGGTTAGCAGCCTGACATGTAACCACTATGCCGCCCGGGGACACTTCATAGACGCGGAGTCATGCAGTAGGTGGGCTTTTGTGTCCAGCGTCACTTTTGTGTCCAGCATCGTATCTCTAAGGCTCTTCCAAGGCGTAGCTTGTTCCCAGACTTTGTTCCCCTTCTCGGCCCTTGGGTGCCGTTTGCACCCCAGAACCCAGTCACACTGCCACGCTGCCTGCTCCCTCTTGCACAGGGCACAGGTTCACACTGCTGCGCTGCATCTTAACAGCTGCTGGCTCCTCCCTCCCAAGCCAGGGATTCAACCATGCGCCTCAGTTGTCCGAGACCATCCTGTCTTTAACTAGTGCTTGTGACATGCTTCTGGGGCTGCTCCATGTGCAGGGACCCTTCTATACTTCATGTATGCAGATGGGGCCTGCACTACCAATGTGTGCAGGGGATGGTGGGTGCTGCTATGCTGCGTGCTGCAGTGGTGTGCCGTGTATTGCCATTAGAAATGCGAACAGACATGAGAGCCTGCTCACTGCCTCTGAGATAAAGTGAATTCTCGATGTATGGATGGTGGCGATGTGTCACCGTGGACGGTTACAGGTAGGAACTGACTAGTGCCCCATGCGGCAGAGCTTTGCACACATTACCTCTGGACCTGGAGCCAGCTGTGACAGCTGAGGTTTCTACTGTCTCAAGGTCACTGAGCTCTGTCATAAGGGCTGGTTGCCAAGGGCGACCTGGACCGGTGACCTCAGTGCACAGGTCCGAGCAGTCTGAGGCTGGAGGTGGTGATGGACCTGCTCAAGACCACCCCCTGAGCTACTCTGTGCAGCCTCGGGCTGGACCCAGGTCTCGGTGGCTCGAGAGTTCCTGCGTGTGTCACTGTTCGCTCTGGCCATTGGAATGGACAGGAGACCCTGGAGGCTGGAGAAGGGAGTGGTGGAGACACCAGAAGACTCGGTGAGAACAGAGCTGTTGGAAGCTCTTCAAAGAGTTGTGCCACAAGGCTCCCTGAGAAGGAGATATGCCCAGGGTCTCTGTTGGCTCAGAGAATAACACCCCCACCCCCAAAAGCTGGGCCACTGAAGCCTGACGATACCAACCCTGGTGGGATCATTCCCGCCCACTGAGCGCCTGCTCTGCGCCAGGCGTGGGCTGGGTGCTCTGCTGGCATCGGTTCATTCATTCTCCACAAGGAGGGGATTGTTGGGAGACCCCTTGTACAGTTGAGAACATTGGTGCCGAGAAAGGCCGTGGAGCATGCCCAGAGCACCCAGCTGGAGAGCGTTGGAGCCTGTGCTTGGTACCGCTTTCCCAGGGGGTTTTCATCCCAGACGGATTTCCTGTGATCTATACCACCCCGCGCCCCTCCTCCCCACGCTGACACAGGGGCCCTGGTGGTGTGTGAAACTGATGACGATGAAAGCCTACAGTTCCAACCCACTGGCCACATGACAGGCGGTCTGCTCCCAGAAAGACTTACAGACCCAGAAACCCAGTATCACACTGTTTCCCAAAGATACCACCCCCTTGGGGAGAGGGGGGCGCTGGTACAATCCAGGCGGACCACCAGAGCAGATGCCTACACTTTATCCAGGGTTGTGGGCCGTAGTAGAGGAGCTTTGGTGGCATAGTGGTCACTCGTTGGACTGCTAACAGAGAGGTCAGCCGTTTGAAACCACTAGCCACTCCTTGAGAGAAAGATGAGGCTTTCTACTCCCGTAAAGAGTTAGGTCAGAAACCCACAGGGGCAGCTCTGCCGTGCCCTACTGGGCCGCCATCAGTCAGATTTGACTAGATGGCAGTGAGTATGGCCTGTGATACAAACGTTTTTAACCACCAGGCAGGTGCTGAGTAATTTATTTCTGAAAAGGGGGCGGTAGGCCAGCCAAGTCAGTTTGGGAACCTGTGCTATAACAGGGTCGCTTTGGGTTGGAATCAGCATGATGGCCGCGGATCGGGTTTTGGTTTGAGTACACATCCACCCATCTCCCCACTCCTCTGATAGCAACGCTGACGGACAACAGCCCTACACGATGGAGTGGAATGTTCCCTCTTGGATTTCTGAGACTAGTCTTCACGGAAGCTGACAGCCCCCTCTTCTTATTCCTGTGACGCAGCAGGTGGGTTCACACCACCTACCTTTCAGTTCACAGACTCGCTCTTAACCACCAGTGCACCGGGGCTCCTCTGATGAGTCTACAGACCCAGGATAATACAGATGCTACGCTGTCAGGTGCTGTCAAATCCGTTTCCACTCACAGAGACCCGATGTACAAAACAAACCATCCTCTCGCTTGTACTTATGTGGGAGACCATTGACGTAGCCACTGTGTCCCTCAGTCTCGTCAAAGGGCTTCCCCCTTTTTTGCTGCCCCTCTTACTTGACTACGAATGATGTCCTTTTCCAGGGACCAGTTTCTCCTGAAGGAGCCCTGGAGGCATAGTGGTTATACGTGCTGATAACTGCAAGGGCAGCAGTTCAAAACCACCAGGCACTCACTGGAGAAAGACAGGGCTTTCTACTCCTGTAAAGGGTTACAGCCTCAGAAACTCAGAGGCAGTTCTACCCTATCTTATAGGATCGCGATGAGTCGGTATTGACTCGATGGCAGTGTTGTTTTTAGCTTCTCCCGAGAACATGTCCAAAGAGTATCCATCTATAGCTATCATACAGTATGTAAACACAGAAGAGAATCATTAGTACACGTTTCCTTCATGACTTCCTGGCAAGCAACAGTAGCTTGGGCACCATCTGTGTTCTTGGCTGTCAAGTTCTAGAACTTTCCTGACTTTAGACTCAGACCAATTGTTGGCTCCATTGGGGTCTCTCTTTCTGCCCCGTTTCCGTGTGTGTTTGAGGAGTTCTTAATCTTGATGGTGGAAGTAGGGCAGGCTGGTGGATAGGGCTAGAAGGACGTTCATGTGACCGAGTGCACTCCGTGTGGAGGAATGCTTGCGACCCTGGGGAGACTTGAGGCGGGGGACATCTTCAGGGGCCTGGTTCTTGGGGGTTGCCAGGAAGCCTTTGTTTGGGATGGGACAGCAGCAATGATGTGACTGTTCTGAAAGAACCATGATGATCATCACTTGCTGGAACACTGAGGTGAGACCCATCGAAACTCCCTAGGCTTTTTAAGTCATGTCAAAAACTCCCCGCTCACTGCTGCCAGGTCGATGTGGACTCCTGGCGAGTGACCCCATGGACAGAGTAGAACCGCACCTTTGGGTTTCCGAGGCTGTAAATCTAATGTTACGGGAGCAGCCAGCCTCATCTTTCTCCCAGGGAGCGGCTCGTGGATTCAAACAGCTGGTCTTGCAATCAGCAGCTGCATTGGTAATAGCCCTCTGTGCCACAGTAGTACCAGGTTCCAAAACTGAGAGCCGGCATCCAAGGGTATGTGCCACAGCGTGTGGCAGTGATGACATTCAGCACCTGCATTTCCCAGGATTCATCCCTACATTTAAGGGTGTGTGCCTGGACTCGTGGGACCCAATAGAATGCCCTTTTCCCTTGTGGGTGCTTGCTTTACAACCTTCTTGCACGAATGCTTCCAAACCTGATGCTTATAATTGTCAAATGTGGTATAGAGAGCTCCTTCCAGCCTCTCTGAACCTGCCTTCCCTCAGAGTGGCTGGTGGGTTTGAACTGCAGACTTTGTAGTTAACAGCCCAAAGTTGGACATGCGAGGGCTTGGTATTATAGATTATATAACTGTTATGCACAGGGGGCCTTGAAAAATTCATGGAAAAGTGGAATGGAAAGATAGGGAATTTTCCTATGAACCTTTGGAAGCCCTCTCATCTGCTAGTTCCCATTACCTGTATTCCTGGCTCTAGTTAGTCAGTCTTTCTCGTTCAGAACCTTTCTGGGTGACCTTGTAGTTCTCTTAGCATCGGAAGTATTGCCTTCTACGTGAAGATGAAATTGGAGGAAGGAAAATCGGGGCAGAGAAGTTTAGAGGTCCCTGTGAGCAGGTCTCCATTTGGCATAACAGTGGTGTTCCCAGAGGGATGAGAATTTTAGTAATGCCTTCATGGAAGCTGCCATAAGCCTATCCCGAGAGTCTTAGAGAATGTCCAGTATCTCCAATATTTCTGCAGTGTTGGAAACGGGCTAAGATCTTTGCCTAACCCAAACGACCTTAGGAAACGAAGCAGCGTGCTTATAGCATATCTAGAAAGTGGCTTTCCACTCAGTCCTTGTCCGTTTCCCATCCAGGATGAAATCCTGACCCCTTTGAGACTTCTGGAGGAGCCCTGGTGGGAGAGCGGTTATGCGTTGGGCTGCTGTCCCAAGGTCAGCAGTTTGAAACCACCAACTGCTCCCAGGGAGAAAGATGGAACTTTGTGTTCCCTTAAAGGGTTATGGTCTCAGAAACCCGCAGGGACAGTCTTACCCTGTCCTATAGGGTTGCTGTGATTCGGCATCAACTTCATGTCCTTGGGTTTTAGTTTGGGGCTTCTGAGGGTAATTTTAATGAGAGTACTTGAGCCAGAGACTCTAAAATAATCTTAAGTGCTGTATTTGTGGGTATGTGCTTTTTAATTTTTAACAAGTGAGTTTATGAATTCAACTTCCCCTTAATGTTTCACACCTCCCAGTAAACTAGACGTTTCTAAGTCTTTGGTCCATGATTTTAAGTCTTTACGTATACTGAGTAGGTCATGATTTTGAAGGTCTCGCTCCATTGCTTCTAGCGTTTCCTATTGCTATAGAAACCTAAAGCTATCCTGGTCTAATACACACTTTTATTTTGCTTTCTGAAAGGTTTTAGGATCTGATCTCTGACTCGCCTTTTGCATTTCGTATGACTGTCCTTTGGGTTCGGTTTGTTTTTGTTCGTTGTGTGGGAAATCTGGGGGAAAGTTTGGATTCTGGAAACTTTGCTGTGGTAATTTCCCAGAATTATTGTTTTCCTCTCTTGTAATTTCTGTGTTCTCATTTGATTGAACTCCCATTTTTCGGATGTTGTGTTTTCTCATTCTCTTAGTTTTTAAAATAGTTTCTGCCCTTTATTTCTTCTGAAAGTATTATTCTTTAATCTTTCAGAACGTTCCCCTTGCTTCATCTTCTTAGCCTTGCATTTCTGCTCTGGTGCTTTAAAGTTTCAATTACCTTAATATTCCTTTTTCATAGTATTCTGTTCTTACTTTGCTTGTGAATTATCTTAACATCTCATCACTCGGAGTATATTTATTTAGCAACCTTATTGTGGTATAATTGACATAATATATCGCATGTATTTAAAGTGTAACATTTAGTAAGCTTAGCTATATCTATATATCTGTGAGTCTTGTACACTTCATTATAATACTTTGTCTTCTAAAGTTGCCTTTTAAAATCTTCTGTTCAGCCCTTTTACTTAATCACTTTTTTGGTTCACTTTAGCTGCTCCATGTTCAAGAGCAAGTGTCAATCTTTTGTGACATCCATTTAGACCTTTCCTTCTTGCTTGTCTTTTAATCTTTTGCTTTTTTTCATATATAATATCCTTTGTCATTTCACAACGCATCTGGTTTTGGTCATTAGTATTCAATACATGATTTTTTTTCTTGCAATGGTCTCTAAGTTCAGATGGAATATGCTCAAGGGCATACTTTGGCTTTCATGAGCTTGCTTAAATTTTGTTCAGTTTCAATTTGAACTTGCATAGTAGCAATTGGTGGTCTGGTCTGCAGTCAGCTCTTGGCCTTTTTCTAAGGGCTATAGAGCTTCTCTGTCATCTCTTTCTACAGATGTAGCTGATTTGGTTCCTGTGTAATCCATCCAATGAGGTTTACATGTATAGTCCTGGTATGTTTTGTTGAAAAAAAGTTTTTTGCGATGAAAACTTGTTGAACTTACAAAATTCTGTTGTGAAATCTTCAGCATCATTTTTGTCACCAAGGCCTTATTTTCCAACTACCAATCCTCCTCCTTTGTTTCCCACTTTAACATTTCAATTGCCAGTAAGTAT